GGAGAGGTTTTGGTGGGAGTGCAGACCGTTTTCACCGAAAATTCGTAATTTCATAATACCTCTTTACTGTGCTACTTTTCTTTGGGAAAGGTGTTGAGATTACATATATATTTTTTTAACTACTAACTTGCATATTTTCTTTAGAACTGGGTCTCATTAGCTGTTGTTTATTTCCAGATTGTTTTTTCCTCGTTGCCACAGTACACTGTTGAGGAATCCAGATAATTTAAAAGTTAATACGTTTAGTTATGGAGGAACTTGTTTAGATGTGTTGTTTTTTGGTCTCAGACCATGCGTTGTAGGTCAAACAAAAAGCCCATAAATGAGAATACTAACTTCCAGGTCAACTATCTAGAAATACCTCGAAATTTTTCGGGTTAGAGTGATTTGCAGGAGAAATATTCAACTGTTCACTTGGGAAGTTCCCTACCGACATGTGCTACTTTTGAAATTTGTATACAGATCTTTCGCGTAATGTTTTTCGTCAGTGGTTGGGTTTTTGGAAATTACACTTCTTCTTACAGCACTTGGTTACTTGTATTAAAAGCAGTATGGCTGCGAAGGAACGTCGAAAGGTTGCTGAACTGCTAGAGATTGAGAAGGAGGTTCAGCGTTTGTGGGAGGAACGCAGAATTTTTGAATGCGACGCTCCGGATGAGAGGTAATGATAAAAATTCTTTCTTTGGTTAATTAGGTATGGATTGTGTGTTTGTATACAATCTCGAGATCTTGACAACGTTTAATTTTGTTGTAAGAACTTTTAGTGCGACGCCAAAGTTTATGACTACATTTCCTTATCCTTACATGAATGGTCGCCTACATCTAGGACACACATTTACCTTGTCCAAGTGCGAGGTTGTTTTTTTTTTAATTTGTTACTTCCTTTTAAATGTTGTGGTAAACACGCGCCGCGAAACTGTATCGTTTTTGTCGCTAAGTGGCATTTTTATAGTTTATAGAGTTTCCAGATGCACCTGACTTTTTCAGCACAATCTCAGAAAATTCTTTGCTCCTTCATTCTACTTTAAAAGGCCCAACTTTAAATGACATTTTATTGCTTGCGTGCTTTTATAACTGCTGCAAATGGCGAAAGTGTGGTGTGGTGTGTATGTTGATGTTTTGTACTGTTTGAGTAACAAAATTTTGCCATGATTTGCATTGCAAAAGTTTTCCTCTTTTGATATTCGAGAAAAGCTATTGTGACAGTACGAAAAATCCTCAAATTAGGACGTAACCCAAAGGAGATAATCCCAGGGCAAATACAAGTTCACCTATAAGTTCGTATTTAAGCTATATATCAGTTTTCCGAAAATATGCTCTTTGAAATGGATGCGTGAGAAAATCCTATAAACGGGAAAATGAAGATGAGATTTAGACAAAAAAATAAGATTTTGGACCGAGCACTATGTCCTGCATGAACGCGCTCAGCTGGTTTACTCACTGATTATTTCTTTCCTCAGGTTTCGGTCGAAGGTATTTAAAAGGTTCTATAATTTGCAGTGGTTTATTTTGTAGTAGACGGCCTCAGTTAAACTTTAAACCATTTATAACAGAAAAGATACTTTCGAGCTATTTGGAGGTTGAAATGAAGTTCAGCGCCATGTCTTAAATCTTCCGCGTCAGTTGTGATTTTTTTTAATCATTATTTTTTGTCACAGAATTCATTTTGGTGGATTTCACGTTTGTTTTCTAGGAGTATATCTTGGCAGTAAAATTTGTAAAGGTTTTTTTAAGGCACGTTTTAAACAAAATGTGTATTTGTTTTGACGTGAGTTGGTTTTGCTGCATTATCGTATAAATATTGTGCATATTGGGCTATTCTATTAAGGAAACCCAGGCATTCTTTGCTACATTTCTGATTTCATGAACAGTGGTCTTGCGTGTTGATATCAATTGAAAAATCAATTTTTAATATCTCTACGTGTATTCTTAAGAAAGAGAGAGGCTGAAAGAAAGAAGAGGAACTTTACAGCAGACGACTGCTTTCTAGTTTTCCTTTCTACTTTTGTTTTCAGTTTGCAGTTGGATTTCAACGCCTTCAGGGGAAAAAATGTCTTTTTCCATTTGGATTTCATTGCACTGGAATGCCCATAAGAGCTTGTGCGGATAAATTAAAACGAGAAATTGCACTTTACGGTTCTCCACCTGTTTTTCCAGCAACGGAAAGTGAGCCGGTGGAGAAAAGAGAAATCACTGCGGATGAAGTGATTAAAGATAAAAGCAAGAGCAAAAAGGTAAAAGAGGAATAATTTACTTCTAAAGTAAATGACAGAATTTGAAGTAATTTTTACGTAACTATTTGCTTTCGTCTAATCATTTCTTAAAATTGTTGGTTTTGTCATTGCAGAGTAAAGCGGTGGCGAAAGGAGGGACTGCAAAGTATCAATGGCAAATAATGCGATCGCAGGGTCTTAAAGATGAGGAAATAGCTGATTTTGCAGATACCAGATATTGGCTTAAATATTTTCCTCAGCACTGTATAGCTGACCTTAAACAAATGGGATTGAAGGTAATTCAAATTTTTTTTTTAATTTTCATGAACCTGCCTTTCAGTTCTTTTTTGTTTTTTCCAGGTTGATTGGCGAAGATCGTTTTTAACTACAGACGTCAACCCGTACTATGATTCTTTTGTCTGCTGGCAGTTCCGAAAATTAAGGGAAGCGAAGAAAATAGAGTTTGGAAAAAGGTATACAATCTACTCACCTAAAGATGGGCAGCCGTGTATGGATCATGATCGTTCTAGCGGCGAAGGTGTTTCAGCACAGGAATTCACTCTTATCAAGATGAAGGTATCAAGGGTTACTCTTCGCTGACAGCCATCTGAAAACGTTTTTCTTTTAGATTTTGGTTGGCAACGTTTTGGTTTCAAAACATTTGAGCGATAGTTACCGTGCACTGCTTTTAGACCTTTTCTTTTGATAGTATTACGGTTTTAGGCAGAAATATGTTAATGAGAGGTGCTTTTATCTGTAAAAGTTGTTTCTTATACAAAGACATCAAAGTTACTTTTTACTATTTTTTTGCAACCATTCGCTTTAAATCTTAACCTCTCAACCTGTTATTGGCAGGAGTATGTTCTACTTAGGTCCTTGATCCGAAGCCGAAAGTTTTGATGAATATTGATAGACCAATTTATTTGGTTGCTGCTACATTGCGACCAGAAACAATGTATGGTCAGACTAACTGTTATGTTCACCCGGATATATTGTAAGTTAATAGCATCTAGCTTTTCAAAATCAAATGTTTTGTCATCCGACGAACTGTAGCTCTTCATTTCCAGGTATTCTGCATTTTTTGCCAAGCAAGATGAAAGTGAAGTCTTCATTGCAACAGAGCGAGCAGCACGTAATATGAGTTTCCAGGGATTAACAGCCGTTAATGGCGTAATTCATTTTGTCGATGGATTGGAGAAAGTGAGTTTTTTATAATTTGTTTTTTATTTTTTACAACTATTGTTTCGCTTAACCCTTCTACTTTTGGTCAGAGAACACGTAGACTATAGACTTATATTTAGGTACCTGGGAAAGAAATTTTAGGAGCAAAGTTAAAGTCACCTTTAACGAAATATGAATATGTTTATGCGTTACCTATGCTGACTATTATAGAAGACAGAGGTTACGGATTTTCGCTCTCAGATTTACCTGTTCGTAAGTGGTTGCTCTAGTGCTTTTAGTGCTTTTTTTTAATTTTTACAGGAACGGGTGTAGTGACTAGTGTCCCTTCTGATGCTCCAGATGACTATGCAGCATTAAGTGACTTGAAGAAAAACAGTAATTTAAGGAAGAGATATGGTATTACAGATGAAATGGTTATACCATTTGAACCGGTTAGTCGTTGTTACGCTTGCTGAGAACTAGGTTCTTTTTTTTTT